AAGCAGGCTTCCTGCCGAGCAGGGAGCCCGATGTGGGACTCGATCCCAGGACCCTGGGATCATGACCTGAGCCAAAGGCAGACGCTTAACAACTGAGCCACCCAGGCACCCGAGACACTTTAAATAGACAGGGTTTAGTCAATTACTCAGAAACGCTCTGCAGTGGACACAGCCCCAGAAACATCTGTAAGGAATTCGCCTATAGCAGGATCCTCAGTCTCTCCCATCCACGCTCTGGGATCTCCGGGACACACCTATGACTCAAACACAGCCAAAGCAGATCCTGGCTCCTTCTCTTCTCAAAGAAGCCATTCTTATGAATTTCTCTATAGTTTCATGCGCAGGATTATGAGGAACTCCCTCCAAACATTTGACCCTTTTGTCGATGAAACCCCTGGGAGTGGGGACACCTTATTTCTCTAACAGCCATGTCTGATGCAGTTATATCACTAACTGATTTGGAGGATCTTATCTCAAGATAAAAAACTCTTGCACAGCAAAGGAAACAGTCAAGAAAACGAAAAGACAACCAACGGAATGGAAGAAGATATTTGCGGGCACCTGGATGGCTCAGATGGTTAAGCGTCTGCCTTCAGCTCAGGTCATGATCCCAGGGTCCTGGGATCGAGTCCCACACCAGGCTCCCTGCTAGGCGGGGAGCCTGCTTCTCCCTCTGCCTCTGCCTCTCTCTCTCTCTGACTCTCATTAATAAATAAATAAAACATTAAAAAAAAAAAAAGAAGATATTTGCAAATGACTTATCAGATAGAGGGCTAGTATCCAAAATCTATAAAGAACTTAACAAACTCAACACCCAAAGAACAAACAATCCAATTAAGAAACGAATGCACAGAAGACATGAACACACATTTCTCCAAAGACAACAAACAAATGGCCAACAGACACATGAAAAAATGCTCAACAGAACTCGGCATCAGGGAAATACAAATCAAAACCACAATGAGATACCACCTCATACCAGTGAGAATGGCTAAAATTAACAAGTCCGGAAACGACAGACGTTGGTGAGGATGTGGAGAAAGAGGAACCCTCTCACACTGTTGGTGGGAATGCAAGCTGGTGCAGCCACTCTGGAAAACAGTATGGAGGTTCCTCAAAAAGTTGAAGATAGAGCTACCCTA